TAAAGTTGTATTTCATTTGTTTGCTTCACTTAAGTCCCTCGAACGGTATTTGATAAAAAAATACAATTTTGAAAATAATGTTTTTCCCACTAGTATTTTCCCTTTTCTTATAGTGTACAAAAAATATTCCACTATTGTATTATTTATTACTAGAGACCGGATAATATGCATTTGCATATTTGCATATGCATTTGCATATTTTAGCGATTTTCAAGGCTAATAGCATATTTTTACTAATATCTAGTGATGATGCATATTATTGCTATAATTTACAGTAGGTAGGTCTTTTTCGAGCGTAGGCGTAGCGCACTCGGCAGCCGCGCGTATTTTGTTTTGGTAGGTACTCAAAAAATGAAAGAGACAAATGATCGCGCCGCCGCGCGCTCGCCTACCGCGCTACTCCCACCTATTATGCATGTCATTATTACTTTGATTGTTGACACGCTCGTGCTTGGATAATTCATCTGCAGTTAAAAGTTTTTGTGTGTGTACAATGCCTCCCGAAAAAAAAAGTGTGTCTTCGTGGATAAGTGAATTTCCTGGAACATTTACTTACGACGGAAATGTTTTATATTGTCGAGTTTGCGAGAAAAAAATATAAAACTTAATAGTTTTTTTTTATTTTATCAAATAACAATAAATTAAAAAGATACATACATAATAAAGTAAAACATAAATAAGACAAGTATTTACTAACAAAATACTTAAATCTAAAGGAATAATATTTACAAAACAAAAAAAAACTCATTTAATGTTGCATATTCTGTCAGTTTTCGTGCATATTTTAGGCATTTTTCATGCATATTTGCATGCATATTTCAAGCTTTTTATGTTGCATATTATCCGGTCTCTATTTATTACATTACATTACGTAGGTTATGGTGGAATATTGTCAATAGGTGTAGGTAAATTTGGACGAGTACTTAACTATTTTTTTGCATTTTGTCATAATGTCAAATTAAAGCACTTTATCATTCAGAATTTAGTATAGTTCTTTGTTCTACTTTTGACGCATTTATTATGTACGATAAAATTATCGATACGGGAACAATAATGTACATCACTATTTTTCAATGAAACAAGTTTTAGACATATTTTAACTAAAATTGATGAAAATAAGCACTGCATTAGTTAGAAAAATATTGTATTTAGTCAATTAGCAGCAAGCATATTTTAATAGTTTAAAAAACAGAGATATTTAAATGAAAAATAGCGATAATTACCGATGTAATGTTACACCTGCCGGTTTAGTAATATTTTTAGTGCTACATCCAATAACACTACACCCGGGCATAGTTCTTCTCACTAACCGTTCATTTATTTGTTTACCACGCACAAAAACAACAGGAATTCTACGAAATATTTATGATAACTACTGTAACATCAACACTTGACCTATATTCGCAATAAACGATTTGAATTTTAAATGTTCGTAACGAAAATTGTAAACCAGTGCTTTGACAGCAGATGTACCACTGACATGCACTGATAACAGTAACTAAGATGACAAATTCGGCACGACTAGCCCCCGTATTTATAGACAAGTAAGTCATAAGCAAAAGTAACTGCTTAAGTAACAATTTTCATTTTATAGTTAAGAAATTGCTTGAGAATATAACTGTCAAACGTTAAAATTCTTAGGCGAGCACTAGTCACCGATTTCTTTACTTACAGAAATGTCCATTTGGCCTTGCGCGGTACTCTACCTAAGTTATACGTCATTTCTTTGTATTCTTTTTGTTTAGTTGCCGAAAGAAAGAATTGAAGCTAGTTCTCTTATTATACAATTTAAATAACGATATACCGATCTCCGCTGCCGCGCCAGATAAGTGCGTGGCGGGAAAAGCTCCGCCGCGATCTCATGGCGGAATGGCAGCAACGACTGTCGCAACCGAGGGCTGGGCTCGCTGCTCTTTGAGGAGTGGCTTGAGAGACGCTACGCCGTCCTCACCTACCTCCTGACGCAGGGCAGGTGATAAAACAGTAGCTGCTTACCATAATTGAGAAAATTTACTATACCTTTCTCATTCAAAATCTGACCAGGGTGAGGGCGAAGACGTGGCGGTGAAAACAATCCACATTCCTCAAACCTAAGACAAAAGTATTTAAAAAAACTTGCTTGATTTTGTTTTGTGAAAAAAAAACATTTTTACAAAAGTAAACCGAAAGCGACTTACAATACTGGCGAAGGCACAGAAACTGCCGCTGAAAGAGGTGCCGCGCCGGCGAAAGAGGTGCCGGGGAAAGAGGGCCCTGCACCGCATTAATTAAAAAAACGCTTGAATAACTAATTTGATAGTATTGCAGTCTCTATATTTCACATTGTTAATGAAAACTACTTACGATTGCCACACGCGCATCCCCTTAGCATGTAGTGGGGTCTACAGAGGATCCGCATTTCGTCAATGTTAAGCATTGCTCATATATGATAATCTCTAGATATATTTATGAAAAGAAAAAGTAAATGCAATGAGTGACAGAAAGCATTAATAAAATAAGAAATCTAAATTGTCAATAATACATGGCCCAGGTCACCTAATAGGACCTTGAGTGCGACCACCACCACCGTCACCACGGCCCAAACCACCACCACAGCTAAATCTATAACCACGACCGCGAGTCACCACCACCTCTTCCTCAACAACTACCCTTTCTTTTGCCACCACTTCCTCCACCAGCACCATCGGTGCAGATAGTTATATTAATTGGTATTTATATATATGTAGTAGTTAGGCTTTTTTTTTTTAAGGGGGTAAAATCATCGAATGACTGCTCCCGCCTGGGTGAGGCGGAAGGGAGTGTCAGACTCTTACTGACTAAAAACCACCCCGTTCCTTCTCCTGCACGTCGAGCCGGAGCCCCGGTTACCCGTTAGGTTCTCCGCGACTGCGAATCGGCATCGGCCCTATTGGGCCCCATCTGTGGTAGTCTGATGGCTCTTTGAGGCGCGCGCGGAACGCGACGCGCCGTACGCTCGGGTCCGTTTCTGGTCGGACGGGGAGCCACCCATGCTCGCCGTCCGCAGTAGTTAGGCTACTTAGCGATAGATAGCACTGGGTGTTTTAAAAAAGTGGTAACATTGTATTTTTTCTTTACTTCAAATTGTGTACTTTATAGATTTTAGGTTGTTAAAGGTACACGAAACCATAGCGTCAACAATGCTCAATAATTAGCAAATAAATTGTACCTACGCTGTTGTTTCAAAGGTCGATAGATGACGTTAGGATCGAGTACGATGGCGCTATGGTTCGTTACCGGCGAAAGTATAGGTTCCGAGCTTCCGAAACTATTATATTTTGGTGTAAGCATCTACAACTGTGATTGATTTTTTTTTCGCTCGCTCAATAATAGGTTTGATTAGTCGTGTTTTTTTTATAGGTAGATATTATTATCTAAAGTAGTTATATTGATTTTTGGTCGTTTTAAGTCACTTTGTTTATTGTTTAGGTTGATTGATACAATAGCTGTATATTAGTTAGGTGAAGTTTTAAATTGAAATGGGAGGATGGTATTTGTGGTAATGCGAAAATAACTCCTTGTTTGTTGTTCTTTCACGCCTAAACGGCTGAACGGATTTTGAAGGAATTTGGTATGAAGGTAGTTTGAGTCCTGGAAAAGCAAGGCAGAACTTCTCATTCCCACGGAAAAATCTAAAAAGCGCGATATAACCGAATTCCACGTGAGTGCAAAGTTATTTGTTCGTTTGCCTGTCTTAAACGACAAAACGGAGGTAATTTTTACCGTAACGTGATTTTTTAACTGAAGGTAGTTGAAGCGATGGATAGTACATAGGGAACCTTTTTATCTTTTTGTGACGCGAGCAAAGCCGGTGGGTAAAAGCATAAAGGGCAAAACAAACAATGCTCAAGTAAAAAAAAATCAGAAAAATTTTAACTACCTAATTAATGCAAACCACAGCAAGTCTTATCCATATAATTCAACCTACCGACGTATTTGCCGTTTCGGTGACCTTGAACGCTAAATTCCTGTCTGTCAACCCGCCTCTAGGAAGTCTGGGTTTTTTTTCTCGTTGCACCACACTAGGATTTTCTCCTGTGTCGTGGGTGCGTTTACAAACAAACAAGTTCACATACACATCACACCCAGACCCGGAACGACAATCTGTGGATCACACAAAGAGTTGTTCCGTGCGGGAATCGAACCCGCGACACGTTGCGCGGCAGCCAGTTGCCCAACCACCACGCCAACCATGCAGTCTTGATTTATGATGTTCGTTTTTCAATTTATACCAAATCGAATTGAAGTTAAACAAATTAAATGATGATTATGAATCCAGTAATATGTATAAATGTCATTTGAATAAAATAATGGTAATATCAGTCTATTTTTCAAGTAGAACAAGTAAAAATTTACCAATAGTTTGCGCGCGCCCGCGCGATATATTTACACAGGGGACCAACTTGAACCATTTCATTTCATATTTGAATAATTAAACTCAGGTTATTACTTACCCATCCAAATTCAGTAAATTTCACTAAACGACACTAAAACAAACTAAAATAAAACGAAAGAACTTCATCAATACTTCGACGACACGAACTACGCAAATGAACAGACCAAAAGAATTTAAAGCCGGCCGCCGGCCGTTTTCAAGTGGTATTTGTTAAACATTAGACGCTATATCGTTCCTTGTCTTTTTCCTTATACGTTCCAAAATTATAAAATATATTTTAAATATAGGTCTATATAATTATTGGTGGATTTTTTTTAAGGGGGGAAAATCATCGAATGACTGCTCCCGCCTGGGTGAAGCGGGAGGGAGTGTCAGACTCTTACTGACTAAAAACCACCCCGTTCCTTCTCCAGCACGTCGAGCCGGAACCCCGGTTACCCGTTAAGTTCTCCGCGACAATTATTGGTGGATACATGGATTATTGACCTCTAGGAGTCGTCTGATAGACGCGGGATTTTTGCCATCGACCTCCTAGAAGCCGCCGACAGTTGAGGGTTATAAGCCTTGACGTTATATGAATACTCACTTGATCCCATCCACATGCTTGGCTGAATGTGTGAGATGCTCCTCGTATGCCTTCATCGTCTTAAATTTAACGTCACAAAGCTGACAGTATTGCTCTGCGTCTTGTGGTAGTTCCTATGTGGTGTGGAAAGGAAATATGATCATACGGTGGATGGCTTGTACGGTCACAAGTAATACATGAAAATATATTTATCCCTCTCTTTCCAAATCTCTCTAATAGCCAAATCCCTTAATCCCTAACTCCTCAAAAAGGCCCAAAGCGTCTCAAAATATAAGCAGCACACGAACAATGATGTTTGTAATACCTGTCCTGTGAAGTTGTTGGTTCAACATCATCATCATCATCAACAGCCTATAAATGACCACCAAATGCCTCATCTCGCATGGAAAAGGTTTGAGCATTAATCACCACGCTTGCTCAATGCGGGTTGGCGGTTTCAAACTTATCATTAGAAATTATATGCTCAGCTTTCCTCACGATGTTTTCCTTCACCGTTGAATAAAGATGAGAAGCGGGCGGCGTTAAACTCCGCACCACCACGACTAATAGGTCTTTAATTAACAATAACAAGGCCCAATTACCCTCCCCTTCCCCAATCTCCCAACTCCCAACGATCCTCAAACTCTTAATCCCCAAAAAGCCCATAACGCACTTGTAACGCCTCTGGTGTTCCAGGTGTCCCTGGGCGACACCGATTGCTTACCATCAGGTAATCCGTCTGCTCGTTTACCGGCTTATGCCACAAAAAACCCCGTATTTTCTTGAGCTAAATGTCCCAACAATATTTTAAAAACAATATTGTAAAATGTGCTCGGTATATGGCAATAGGCTCACCCCCTATTACATGGGACTTATAACATAAATAGTGAAAAGTGGTTGCTATATAATACAGTGGCATTAAGTGCAGTAATGTGCGCCTCTGGTGATATGTTATGATATGAAATATTTTAAAACTCACCATGGTATGTTTCAACTTAAGGTGTCTATTCAGCATCCCCTTTTTGGAGAATTTCTTAGAACAAAAAGTACATTTGCACTTCTGATTATTTGTACTCGCTGTAAAGTCCTCCTCCTCTTCTCTGAAATTAAGCTGCCACCAATCTTTGGTTTTATATTCAGCTGTCTTTTCAACAAAGTTGTTTTCTTTCCTTTTTTTCGGGACAATTACTTTTTCTTCTTCAATTTCTATATAACAATGGTTTCTTTGGTCAATATCAATGTCTGTTACGAACTCTTCTTTTGTATCTTTAAAATGATTCAATTCTTCTGTGTTTATTTGTTCATTATAATCAGGTCTTGGATCCGATGTCAAAGTTTGTTTTTGAATCACATTTGTAAAATCATTGTCAATTGTCTTTTCTGGTATTATGTATTCATCTTCTTCATCTAATATTTCCTTTTTTATTTCTGCTAAGTTTTTATTGTCCACAGAAGAATCACTTTCATATTCTAATTTCAATTCATATCGTTCGACATTTTCAATTTCCTGTTTTACTAGGTTTAGTGTATTACTCATTATCTTGTCAGTCCTAACTCTAGTATTTGCAGAAAGTATGTTTATAGAAGACTAAGTTGTTGCTCTCTCTGTCTATATTGAATATCGATGATGGAATAATCTGTAAATAAATGGTTTCCATGATAATTTTATAAACATGTAGGTTGGTGTTCGAATTGTGATTTATACAAGGTGTAGTTTTGAAACCGTGACATTTCTCGGGGACATGTCACAGAAGTTATAAAGGTTCAATGTAAGAGAACGTTTCGGGCCCATAGTTAAAAATACGACTATAATAAATCGTTAAGTTCGACAGTATTTCAGAATAAACGACAGCAATGTAAATAAAATAAACAGAATAGGCTGCCATGTCGCCATGTGTATACTTAACAAAAAATGGTCAAGAAAGCATGAAGGTTCAAAGAAGGGCGAGGCCACGCGAGACATCGCACGGTACCTACTTAAGAAAGAGACAATAATCTCGTACAACATTAATGACTTTTAATTATACTTGAATGCAGAAACAATGGTCAGAATGTAGCAAAGAACAAAACAATCAATAAAAGTACAACACGTACCTATCTTCAAACAAAAGTTTATGTAGGTACCAATGTTAGTCATCAGCAGATTCATAAAACTGTGTAATGCTTTACTTATTACTTTTTATTGCAAGTCTGACGAATACTAATAATTCTAAAGTTAGTAATTTAAGTTCTGAATAATGAAAACACATAGCTAAGTAAGTTTGTAGGATTCAAGTGCTCGGCTGTTTGTGGGCATGATTTTAAGTTGTAGGTATTCGCATTGTAGGTAAGTTCAGTTCAAAGTTTCATTCGTGTATTCAATCGGTTGATTTAAATTGATAAAAAAATCTTTTCTTATCATGAATTCATATTCCGCGTAGATACCTACAGGAGTTATCAGCTGATGGACTGATCAGCTGATTCGTAATACTAAATGCATATCCTGCTGATTAGGAGCAAACAATTTAAAACTTAGTGTCCTTAGAGACGGAATGTACAAGTAAATAAATTACACATCTACCTGTGTCACTCGGGTATTTCGTTCGAAGTTTTCGTCTTCGCAATCTACCTATGCACAGCAACACAGTCATGAAATACGTCAATGATTGGATTATGCAACACCACGCCACTTGTTGTTAATGTGTTTCAATAACTGAATAACTGATCACTTGCAGTCTCTGTCTGGGTAACAGCCAGCAGGCATGAATTTCATATCATGCGTTGTTGTGAGTTAGGTACGATGCGAATAGTTCGATAGCGGTTGTTTTCACTGCAACTGGTGGCATAAAGGTAAACTATCTCGGCTTATTTTCCGGTTTTTCAATTTTTTTTTTTTATTATAAAACGTTGCCCCACACTAGGATGATCTCCTGTGTCGTGGGTGCATTTACAAACATACAAGTTCACATACACATGACAGCCAGACCCGAAACAACAATTTGTGGATCACACAAAGTGTTGTTCCGTGCGGGAATCGAACCCGCGACACGTTGCACGGCAGCCGGTTGCCCAGCCACCGCACCAACCGTGCAGTCAAAAGTGTCGCCTGTTCGAATCCCACACAGGTTCAAGGCCATGCGAAATAATTATAAATAAGAAACAAACGTCCTCCCCCGGCACTGCCAAAGCACAAACTGAATGCGTGTGCGTGCGTGTGCGCCGAAGGGGTTTTTTTTTAAGGGGAGAGTGCCAGAGTGTGGAGCCGACGAAGCGTTTGCGTTTCTTATTGCAATTGTAGCGAATTGGGAATAATATCAATTACGTGTTTCAGTTTGTGTGTTGAGTTGAGCCACGTTATAAAGCTAGTTACAAGACGGCGACGTGTAGTTCGCACTTACGGATTTCCGTAATTTATCAAAAATATTTGCCTACAATTTTTTTTATTGATTCGGACTCAGAATCGGTAGCCGAATTACCTCCTAAAAAATGACGTGACTTTAAAACAACACCTTGTATGTTCCAATACACTGGTCATGGAATTACTTGACAATACGATTGACTGCACAATTGGCGTGGTGGCTCGGCAGCCGGCTGCCGCGCAATGGAAAGGTTAAGCGACACCTTATAATATAAGTGACAGAAGGCATTGGCCTGTTGCACTCAAAAACCACATCTCATTTATGTATTTATTTATTTTCAGCCATGATCGTCCCACTGCAGGGCAAAGGCCTCCCTACCCTCCTTCCACTCCTCTCTATGTAAAGCTTTTTGCGGCCAATCCTTGTCATAGATGTCTAATACGTCCTGCCATCTCCTTTTGGGCCTGCCGCGACATCTACTGACATTGAGCGGGCTCCACTCAGTAGAAAGTTTTGCCCATTGCTTGTCTGACATGCGGCAGACCAGTCCAGTTCCAATTCTAGCCTGCGGCTTTATATATTAAAATAAAATTATTTAGGAATTCCACATTAAATAAATACTTACAGGTCCATTACTCAATAATTCAGTAAGAGCATGTTCGCGTCTGTGTCATTTTTCTTTGAATCTATGGAACTTGTGCAACATGCCAGCACATTCATAGGAGAAGCACTTTGGAAGACCATCTTGTTTAAAATAAAAATTAACTTGATAATTCACTTATTACCTGTAAAGATATAACATGCATGGTAATAAAGTTGTTTCGTACTGAAAGTTCGGTTTCGGTTTCGGCCGAATTTCGGCCAAAAATCAAGTTTCGGTGGCAGTTCCGGTTTTGGCCAAAATCGGCAGAAAGTTTTGCCGAAACCGAAACTTATGTCGCAAGTTCAGGCATGTTCACTCTCAGTCACCTAATTACGTTTCTGTACTTGAATGATTTATATAGTTAATTAAATATTGAATCAGTAACTTTGTTTTGTTGTTATTAACAAATCAAGTCACATTTAAAAAAGAGATTGTTATAAATCCAAGTGGTCACCGGTGACGGCGCATATGTCAAACTCCAAGCAGTTAAGAGTATGGTTGGCAACCCTAGTCACCAGTGACCGCTTGGGACAGGGAAGTAAACTTAGAAAACCCCACCACACAGTTTCCTATGGGCATTTGCATATTTTAGAGGCATCTAAAACGTCTGGATAACTAATTACTCAGCTTGGAATTGATCTAGGCTTGTTTAAGTTAAGTTAGTAGCAAAATTAGAGTCCATTATTTTATTGAAGTAGACTATTATAATACAGAATACAACAATTTGTAAACAAAATTACAATAGGTTTTCAGGCTAAATATACGCAAGTATCGTGTTTTCTAAGTACGATGTTGAGTACTTACTTAATAAAATAAAATAAACAATCAAAATTATTTAATTACCTACTTACTTTTATCCTAAACCTTCTTCATAATATTGCTTTAAATGAAAACAATCTATTACTTTTACGTCTAATTACACAAACATTTGCAGTTTGAGGTCAGACTAGGCACACTTTGAGATCAGACATATTGATTAATTAATAATATGTTTTAAAGTATTGTTTACTATAGAATTATATTAGTTTAGCAATATTTAAAAGCTAAATAACACGATGTAACACAAGCTCGCTCGTAAACAAGCAATTTAGCACTTGTAGCGTTTAGAGCGATATCATTTGTCAATTTGTTATTTGTTTTGCCAATGTCAAATTCAAATACTGACCTTAGGGATGTGACAAAATAATCGATCACAGACAGTAATGATTAATGAACGATTTGGTTATTGAAAATTTTGATTTTTGTTCATGATTTTATTTTTAAATAGCTGTTCTCCGCGACTTCTTTCCTGGGAATTACTGTAGACGACAAATTACAATGGGGTCCTCATATTACATCTCTAGCGGGACGATTAAGCTCTGCAGCTTATGCTGTCTGGAAAATTCGTCAGTTAACCGATATAGACACGGCAAGACTGGTGTACTTCAGTTACTTCCATAGCATTATGTCGTATGGCATTCTGCTGTGGGGACACGCTGCTGACATTGAGTCTATCTTTGTCTTGCAGAAGCGCGCCATCAGAGCTACATACAACCTAGGTCGTCGCGAATCTCTCAGAGAAAGGTTTAGGGAGATCAATATTATGACCGTTCCATGTCAATTTATTTATGAAAATATTATGTATGTTAGGAAAAACCTACATTTATTTAGTAAAGTGTCTGACAGACACAATTATGAAACTAGACATAAGAATAGATTAAGTCCGCCGTTTTTTAGATTGTCAAAAGTACATAAGTCGTTCATGGGAAT